CAACAGGGTTTTTTCATACCATGCTCCTATCATATCCCTAGAAACTTCAAAATTTGTTTAAGCTTGCAGATCACCAACTCCTTCAACTCCATACACGTGCACATCCCAACCCCATCCCAACAAATAAACATATAGGAGAACTACACAATATAGGAGATTTCCTACATGACAACTAATTTCCGAACAGACCCTATATAATCTACTCCTATCACATCCCTAGCCACAGTGACCCCGGATCAACACTCCAGGGTAGAATGGCATGATGTAGGATACCACACTTTTTGGGTGGTACCAGCTCTTTTACCACTTGAAACAGCTGATGTTGAACTGTTACCCCCACCACAACACACACAAATAAGAAAAAGACGAGAAAAAAAAATAGCTATGTAACAAACCTGAAAAATAATTCCCAGCTCAATAAATTAAATATCCATCGCCTGAGACTATATTTCAACTATTACTAATGTTACTGTTAGTCCGGCATTCACGAGCATCACCGAGTCAATGAAGTCATCGGCCATTTCCAGAAGAAGATCTTCAACTTCAGGGTCCAGCTTTCCATGTGGATCCAACTATGAAAATAAAATAACGACTAAAATAATCCCTTTACCAAATCCAGAAAAAGAAAAGATCCAATAAATGTTCCACTTATTTCAAAATCCCTAACTTGATCCTGATTTTTGTAATTAGATCTGCAAAATAGAAATTCCAAATCCTGATTTTTGTAACGAAATTTTATATGATTTAGTGAATTGAAAAAAAAAAGTGCAAATTACTATAGCAGAACAACCTGTGAAACTAAATCTTGCATCTTTCTCTTCCCAAAGAGATGATTGCTGGCCTCAGTCCCTTAGCTCGAACTCCCCCCCGGAATAGTATTTCCAGATGCAGTAGCATCTGGCTGAGATCGCGTCAAACTTACAGATTTCTGGCCTCCAGGAGCCACCATTCTTGGAGACTGCATCTTCTGTGCGAAATCAATTGCTGTTGCTGTGGTGGCTGCTGATGCGAAAGCAGTTGTGGCTGCTGGTTCAATCTGGGAATGGCCCATTCGTTGTTGCCGTTGTACCATTTGGGACATCTGCTGTGGGTTCAATCCCATTGAATTCTGATGAAGCTGAGAAGAAGAAGCCAGTTGCTGCTGCATTAGTTGCTGCTGCCTTTGTTGTTGAAGACGATATGAAGAAGAATTGGGAGAAGACATAGCAGGCACTTATTTTAACCACTGCTGTTGGGACAAGGCGTTCTGCATCATAGCTGGTTGTCCATTCTGAGCTAGTCCGGATAACTGAGGATTCATAAACGATGTCCTAGCTAAATTCTGTACCTGCAGTTTCTAAGGGAAAAAAATAAAAAATGCGAAACTATTATTTAATGCGGGCAAATAGAAACAAATTGTAGCATAGCATAAAAGAGAAACCAACGAATTATACTAATTACACATTAAAGACCAACAAATCCATTACTTGGTGAAGAACAATAACAATAAATGCTGCTGCAGAAATATATGAACCAAAGAAAGCGTCAAAGGCTCAACTAGGAAGCATATTTATATCACAGGTAAAAATGCTCAATAATGGTTTATGTATATAATGCGAAAGGTGACTATTTATTTTCAAACATTCACATTTTATTTTACAATTTATCATAAACACAGCTGAAAAAAAAGAGGTTGAAAAATATCTCACTTCGAATTTTTTCTTAATAACATTGTTTGTTCTAGAAAACAAGTGTGCGTCAGTTTAAGTAGAATAGAGAATCTAAAGGCACGAGACGTTTGGAAAAGCCCACATTGTGTGTAAAGGGACCTCAACGTGTAGAATGAAGATGCCTTCTCCTT